GAAGATATAAAGCTATTTCTATTTTCGCTAATAAGCATATGATAGCTGATAATGCTTGGGTGCTTGTTGATTACAAAGTCAGTAATAACTACAAAAGAAAATGCAGCGGGGAGCAATTGTATTGTGAATGCGGAAGAGAACTAAAGTATCAATATGTTGTTAGATCCACTACTGGGGAACAAAAGAAATTAGGTTTCACTCATTATTTAGAATTAACTAATTTAAATCCTGATGTCGCAACCCAGATTGTTATGGAAATAAATCAGTTGAATTTGAAAATTGATGAAATTTTAGTACTACTTGAACATGGATTTAGATTTCCAGAGGAAATGTATGCTCAATATAAATTATGTAAAAATGTGATTTTATTGAACGAAACTCAAGAACTTAGAATAGAAGAGTTTAGGAAATTCAATTTACCTCTTTTGGTTGCTGACTACGAAGATATGGAAAGAATTATTCGAATTGAAAATCAGCACAAACGAGCATACAACCAGCAGGTCAAACCAATTGTACGGGAGACGGATTCTTCAAAAAAACAAAAGTCTGTTAGCAATCACTTAATATCTAAGGAAAATAAATCAGTTCCTTCACAACCTCACACATTTCCGAAACAAACGACTAAAAAGGAATTTAGTAAAGCTGATTTAAAACAAGGTAATACGTTTAGAATATACCCCAATGACACCATTATTAACTTAAAAGAACAAGGATACTTGAATTTGAAGACGAAACAATATATTTCTGAATATGACCTTTTTCGAAAAGTTTTGGTTGTATACGGGACAGGAAGTAACATTATTGCCAAGCGTGATGATACTCACGATATTTTAATTTTTCAAAAAGAATATAAGAAGTTTCTCAATAAAGGGATTTCCTTAACGCAGCAAGATATTACTTCTCATGGCTACTCAGTAAGATGTTTCAATAATAATGTTTATGTAAATACAAATAATAATAGTTGGATAAACATATTAACACTTAACATAGTTCCCAATAAAACTATTTACAAAAATATTAGAAATGTTATAAATTTCAAAGGATATATGATTGCGAAAAGGAAAAATCAAAATGGTCCACTTTTGAGTATCAAGCCAAAGCTAGTTAGAAAATAATCACAAGAGAATGTATGTAAATGAACAACGGAAATTGTAATTTATAATCAAACATTATTTAATATTTGATTGATAGAAATGTAAGAGTCGATCTCTGAAGACCTAGACGGCCTCATCGTATCTAAAAAATTGGAGGTAAATAGATGGTACAAGCATTTGATAATGGAACTTTATCACTAGAACAAATGTTAATGTTTGATGAAGTGAAGTTAAAATCACTAAAATTAGAATCAAATCAAAAAATTGTTTCTATCGAAAATAAGAAGATAATATCTGATTTAGAAAAGAAAATAAAAGATCTAAAAATATTTATAGCAATAAATAATTAGAAAGAATCGAGAGGAGCAAATCAACTTGACAAGAAAAGCATTCGATACTTGGAACAGAGAAATAACGGCTTATAATCGAACGATGCCGTATTATGTCCAATGTGATTGCGGCGATCTAGCTCAAATGGTTTATAAAAAAGACTATTTTGAATGTCCTAAATGTAAGAGCAAATATACCATGAGAATGGGCCAGTACGTTAAACTAGAGGCATGAGAGCGACGGATTTGTTGACGATTCTATCAATCGATTTAAAAGCTGAAGCCGTGAACGAGATCCAGTTAGCGTTTGGCGATCAGCTGAAGCCAGTGGGCCAACTAGTGAGTGCTAATGATCGGCTGGTATTGATTGCTGCTGAAGCTAATCAACCGGCTGTAGAAATGAACGAGATTATTACTCAATTGATGTTACACAAGCACTTTAAGCTATATAAGCAGCAACAAGATCCAGAACCGATCTATGGTTGCCGGGAAGATCAAAAAATACTAATTATATAATCAATAGGACGCTGCATGCATTAGTTGTATGTAGTTTTTTTGTCTCAAAGACAAGTATCTAACACTGGACAAACGAACGTAAGTTCGTATAATTGAGAGTAGTAAAACAAATTATAAGGCAGGTGCTACCTATGATGGAAGAATCATTAGAATCGTATTTTGATAAGTACCAGGACAGAGGAATAAAAAAATGGACTGGATTTTTTCTTTCAGAACACACAGCTGCAGTTGCTAAGGAAAAAGAGCAGGAACAGATTATTGCACGTTTGCCGCAACAAACGACTGAAGTAATTGAGTATCATTTAGATCAATCGATTAAGTACAATAAGTTGTTGGATATACAATTAAATACCTTAGATCAACTAGATAGAGTTAAACCGCATGTGCGAGGTGTCTTCAGAGGCTTTCTAGATATGGATACTGTAATGATTAGCGACGTGTGTATTGACTATGCTGACATACGTCATGTATCAGCTGTTAACTTTGTTAAGTGGTCAGATATGGACAAGATCGAAGATCCTTTTAATGGTATAGAGATACCAAAAGAGATCGATGAATTTTGTGATACGTATTTTAATGACGGAGAATTTCTGGAATAACTTATGGGACTATGTTATTCTGAAATAAGCGGAACGTACTGCCACATCGATAAGAAGCAGCTAACAGGACAATTGTTAGCTGCTTCTTATTATCGTACAATCGTATACATGTATTCATGAATACATGTATACATATAATAGATAAAAAACGCTAAATATATGAGTTTATAAAAAAAACGTATACATGAATACATGTATACGCGAGAATTTACTTATTTTTTATATCCTTTTTTAAAAGTTGATATTAAGCGTTGCTTTTTCTTTTGAACGATATCTTGAAATTCTAGTCGTTGTTCTCTGGACAAGTTATTTATCATTTGATCTAGCATGGCTCCTAATAATTCATAATTATATGCATACTGATCGCTGTATAATTCTAAAAGAGCATCGTATTCAACTTTTTGCATTCTTTGAACACCAATCATTGTACGTCCAGTTTGATAGTCATTCAAAGCGACTTCAAAATCCATTTCTTCTTTGGCGTTTAAACTATTTTGATTTTCTTCGTTTTTAGGACCATTTGTTTGTTCTATATTAGGTAAATAAGGTGACTCTGGATCAGATATTCTGTTACGTTTAACTGTACTTTTGAATGGAACAGGTTTATTTTCTTCTGTTCCACTGGGCATCAGTGAACTTCTTTTTGGAACATTTTGCTTACTCAAATAGATCACATACCTTTCAAATTAGACTTCATTAATGTAAGTTTCACCGGTTTCTCTATATAAAATTCGAGTTAAAGCTTCGATAGATAGCTTGTAATAGACTTCCATAATTTGTTTATCCCATCGATCTTCGAGTCTAATTCCACGTCTAGGAACAGAAGTAATTCTTCGCATATATGGTATTATGGTTGAAAATACTTCAGAATCACCAAACTCGTCTAACGCATCTTGATAGACTTCCAAATCCAGGGTCCATTTGGGTGTTCTACTTAAAACTTCTAGTCTTTCTCTAGGAAGTTCTCCCTTTTCATCAAGTGGTGATCCAGGAGCATTTAGCATGCTAGCAAGAATACCAAGAATGTCAAAGTCTTGTTTATATTTATAAATCTTAGGAACAAATTTCTTAATAAAGTCAACCGCGTTTTCTAAACTATCTGACTGTGTTTGCAAAGCTACTATAATATAATCACACCCATAGACAGCACTTTTGGTAGCATATGAGTCCCCCGGTGGTGTATCAGTGATTAGTATATCTAAGTCTTGTATATTTGGTTCTAATAATGATGGTAAATATGAAATTTTTTCTTGTTCAATCTTGTCATAATTTTCTGTACCTTCTGCTGCAGTACCAAACTTCACATCAAGGAAATTAGTAAAGCTAAAGAAGTCTGACGTTGAAGGGAAAAGAAATAAGTTACTATTGATCTCTACTCGAACTTTGCTTAAGTCGCCATTTTGTATTCCTCTCATTAGAGTTTCTTCGTAGGCAAAATCACCGTCTACTTCATATTGATTTTGTTTTGTAATGATAAGAGAGTTGGTCGTATTACCTTGAGCATCCTGATCAACTACGCCTACCTTTAGGCCCATTTGAGACAAAACATTGGCTAACTGAACTGTGGAGGCAGTTTTTGAAACACCGCCTTTCCAGTTAGCAATCACTATTTTGATAGGTCCTTTCCTATTAGCTACTAATTGCTTGATGAGTTGGACTAGTTTATTATCGCGTTCTAAAAAATCAACTCTAATTACCAAAAAATCACCCTTTCGATTTGTACACATGTATACAGGTATAATAGTATACATGTATACATCGTGCTGATTGAAATTAGTATAACACGAGTAGTTCGGAAGGTCAAGTCATAGCAGTTTATGTATACACGCATACATGTATATGATTTTTCATGTATACATTGATTATTATAAATGCTTTAAAGATAGCCTTTTAGGTTATTTTATAGTATACATGTATACTATGAAATGGTGAATGAGCGTATACATATATCTTACTTCATCATCATTTGATCTGTACACACATGTATACGTGTATACAAAAACCATGGACATTTGTGAATACATGTATACATTGATTTGAATTTGTAGTTATTCAATAGTTTACAAAAGAAAAAAAGTAATGTATTCTATAACAAAATGCAGACAAAAAAAAGAGACGAAATAAAATTTGGTAGCCGCCAAATTTTATACGTCAGATAGTATTCGTCTCATTTTTAAAGTTTGATTGTACTGAAATACAATCAGAAATAATAGTGTGTCTAAACTACTATTTTTCGCTAAATTAAGTTAATGAAAGTATATCAGATTTTGCGAAAAAATTCAATAGTTTAAGGCTTATTTCGTATGCGCTAAATGGTTTTTAACGTATATGAAATAAGCTTTCGAGGGAAAAGGACACTAAAAGTTGCTTTAGTGTTCTTTTTTGTTTTCAAAATTTAAGGAAAGTGAGGTGTCCGGTGCATGCAAAAGATCGATTCAACACAATTATCAGAAGTGATCTCTATGATTACTAAAGGCGGTATCCGTAAATATAAATTCAAGAATAGCAAAATCCGTCCGTTTAACACCAAGCCAGAAGGCAACAAAGGTGCGGTTTTTGGGTTTAGAACAAAGCCAAATATGATCGCTTCTCGTGGTATCGTGTTAACGTCTGAAGAAGCATTGTGGGAAAACGAAGATTGCCTAAGCCACTGGACACCGAACGTTTATAGCTACGGCACATATGCTGACGAAGGTCGCACGATTGTTAAAGGTCACTCAGAAAAAAACTTAAAACAAATCAATACGTTTGTAATCGATTTTGACAAAGTACCAGGAGAAAAACTCGATGTGCAAATGATCTTAGATGCTGCGTTGGATCTAGAATTACTTCCGACGTTGATCTTAAAAACGCCAGGAGGCTATCAAGCGTACTTTATTCTGGAGAATGCCTGGTTTATTTCGTCTGTCAAAGACTACCAGTCAATTGAAATTGCGAAAAAAGTATCAGAAAATCTTAGAAAAGCCTTTGCTGAAACCTTGTCTTCAGTGGATTTAGGGTGCAATCATTTTGGCATTGCGCGTATCCCACGTACCGATAACGTTGCCTATGTTTATCCAGCATTAACGCACGATATGCAAAAGTTTATTGACTGGTCAATGCGCTATCAACCTGCGGAAACACATGAAAATAGACACTTGCGAATTGTTCCTGAAGCTGGCGAAATTCAACAAATCAAAGAAAAATGGGTCGATATCCTGTTAAAAAATCCAGAAATCGTGGGTCAAAAAGGTACTTTAGGACGTAATAATGCTGTATTTACGCTATCTTTGGCTTATTATGCGTCAGCTGTTGAAATGGATCGATGCCTGGACGATATGGATTTATTCAATAGCAATCTAGACTATCCTTTAGCGTCAAACGAAGTATATAAAATCGTAACAAGCGCGTATTCTGGCAAATACAGAGGAGCTAACAAAGAGAAGGTATTGGAGTTACTGGCAAACTGGGGCTCAGAAGCTCTCTCTGAAGACCAATTATTTACTCAAAAACGTAGCCACTGGTGCAAATTCAAAAAAGATCGATCAGAACGAAAAAAATCACACATTCATGAGTGGAAAGTCGATATTTTGAATTACCTGGAGACACAATGCTACCGGTACCGTCCGGAAATTGAAATTAGAAAGACTGAAATTCAAGCAGCTATTAGCTACACACATCAAGGAGTGGAAAAAAATATTCCCAAACGATCCCTGGACAAAGCAATGAACGAATTAAAAGCTGAAGGGAAACTATTTATCAAGATAAAAGCCGGACGTGGAGGCGGATTGATCGTTGCGACAAGAAAATCATTGATCCGTACCGTGATCGTGGTCAACCGACACGTCAAAGAGGCGTATAAAAAGTCGATTAGAACATTTTTTAGAGAAGCAGCGATGTTAACTAAGATGCTCGAAACAGGCTACAAAGAGGATAAAACAGGGATATTTGAGGTGCAATTAAATCTAAGGGACACTGGCTAATTTTTAACATGCACACTGCCAATACATTATATCTAGGATACTTATCGGATAAAAAAAGAGCTGCCTACTTTTAAGGAGCTCTTCCAGTATTTTATTATTTGTCGGGGGTATAGGCGTCTTCGGGATTGTATTGTTTGTTATTGATATAGGCTTTATATTGGTATCTAGCAGCGTTTGCTGTTTGATTGTCGCCCAGATATTCTAATGTTTCTGCTATTTTTTTAAGTTCTTCTAGGATTTCTTTGCTGTTTGTTTTTAAGTAATTTAAGGTTATTTGGTTGATTTTATGATGGAAAGAGTATCGTAAGTTCATTTTTTGGTTTAAGAATTTTTGTAGTTTAGTATTACTGTCTTCAGCTCTGTGTAAGTCTTTGTGGGAAAGAAATACGTCAGAAAAATTGGCATATAGTTTACAAATTTGTGTATGATAGTTGCTAATGTCATAGGCGTAATTTAAGGGTGAAAATTCAGGGAATTTGTCATAGAGAGTTGCTAATTCTTCGTGAGTCATTGCAATTGAAGCGAAATCACCAATGAATCTAATGTCGTATAAACTATAGTCGTTTCCAAGACTTAAAATATATTTTTTAAAAAGAGTTTTATCTGTTTTTGTAAATTTTGAGATTACTTGTGGATAACGTTTTTGTAAATGACCAACTACGCGACCATAGAAGTATAAAGAGCTTGCTGAGTCGTTTTTATGTTGACTGACATATGTATATAATTCTTTGATTTCAGTATGTGGTATATCTTGTTCAACTGCTTTTAAAAAAAGATTGTGATAGTAATTTTCTTTTGTGAAATTGTCTTTCTCAGTTAAAAAGTCTGGAAAAGAGTAATTGAGTCTATTTAAGATGTGGATAAATACTTCAATGCTAGGATCAGAATTATTATGTTCTATTTTTGAATAAGCTTGTCGAGATAAAATACCCTTTGCTACGTCCGCTTGGCTCATGTTTCTTTTTTTTCGTAGATCTCTGAGAATGTCACCGGTTAACTTCATTTTCATACTCCTTTGTTATTTAAATGTTTAGAGGGTAAAAACCATGTAAGATATATATGGCAAGTAAGCGGTTACTTGCCACGTTCGTTAACATTTTCGATTAAACTGATCGTTGAAATATCTGATTATGCTACTTTTGTTAACATTTGCTATTTTGCTATTGAGTTATTTAATTTTGCATGTAATAATTATTACAAATAAGAAAACGGGGGTGTTGATATGTTTGGTATTACTGTATTAGCTTCGGCTTTTGTTACTGTGCTTGTACATGCAATTAGCTAGAAATATTTATTTTCGTATTTAAAAAATGTTGCACTTACAAAAATTAAATGCTATGATGTTCACGAATAAATATATTACGTGAGTAAGCGTATTATTTTTGAGAAGTCAACGAATAATAAAATAAAGAGCAAACTGTAACCCCTCCCTGTTAAAAGGATTCCAGTCCAATTAATAGGTCAAGCGGAATTACAGTTGGCCAGAAATCATGAGATACCCACATGATACTGTCCATGCTCCTTGTTGCAACGATTGTTACAACGTGTATTATTATAACAATGTTTTAGAGAAAATAACAGAAGAATCTATGTTCTTCTTCACAAGATTTTTTTAAGCTTAGAATAGCTAAAAAATATAAAGCGAGCTACGTCCAGTATAACCTGGATTAGTGCGTTTTAGTGATAAAAGTGAACTCTTTAAAATATTTGTAATAAATGACGGTTGTAAGCGTTGAAACCTAGGGGATGAAATACAGTATATGTATTTCATCCCCTTTTTTATTCGTTGATTTCTTAGAGGTAAACAAAAGGAGATGTGAGAATGGTTAAGACTAGTGTTAACCCAAGATATAAAAGACAATATGGAAATCGTTGTTCTCAAGGCGATGTATTGATGTTATCAACATCCGTACGTACATTCGATAAACGTATTTGGTTAAACCACCGAAATGGTTATTTTGTTTGTCTCTCAGAAACGAACTACGGGACAATGAAGCCAGAAATTGTTACACTAGCAGCCATTTATTCTGATATTCAGACTGTAGAGAGTGTAGATCGAGTGATTGCACGTAAAAGTAAGTTAGAACAACCATTACGATTTTTAGAAAAACCGTACCGAATTGGAACACGGAGAAAATAAAATCAACAAAATTATAGGTTTCCTTTGTTGATTAGTGAATATCCCTTATGTACTTTGGAAAGACTGACCTTTGACAGTAGAATGATAAAAAAATAATTTGAGCGAGAAAGGAGAACCAACAGGAAGAGGACAACTCGGTGTTTGCCAACTGATTGTCTGCTCAACATGGGCTTGGTTAGTATCTTTTTGAGGGAGAAGAGAACGCACGGTGATAGAACTACTTGATTGTAGTAAGTAGCGTAATTGAGCGTCTGAAAAGACCAGTTACTAGCAGAAGGATTTCTGATACTTGTACGACTAGTTTCAAGAAAGGGATCACGAGGTTGCTTGTTCAAGCCTGAATACAAGCAGGGTACGCTTTGTTTCCGGAAAGCGATAAGTCACTAATGAACAAAGAAAATCTATACTAAAAAATGAAAGGGGAGTAAGTTATGAGCCAACGAAAGAAGAAAAAAGAGCAACGCAAATTAATTGCTGAACTGATCCAATTTTTACGAACAGGAAAACGACAATCAATTGTGATTGAGGAATATTTTGATTTAACAGATGACAAATATCATTGGACAACTGAACAAAAAAGCTTATTGTATAGCGGATTAAATCGGACAAGCGCATTGAGTATAAGTACGTCACAACATGAAAAAACTGCTACTTTAAGAGATTTAGAGAACCCTAAGGGTTATTCAATTAGGCTTACATATACAAGGATCGAGGCAACATTATTAAATTAGAGAATGGAGTAATCTCATGTCAAAGAGAAAAAAAAGTCAATTCGAGTCAAGTATCCATGTTTATCGAGCAATGAAGCGAATGACACAACAAGAACTTGCTGACAAAGTCGGCGTTTCAAGACAAACGATAATACAGCTTGAACGAAATCGGTACAATCCTAGTTTATTGTTAGCTCATGATATAGCTGACGTTTTTGAGGTTCCAATCGAGCAAATTTTTACCTTCAAAAAAAGAGATTCAGATTGTGAAAAGGAAGTTGAAAAATAAAAAAACTTGTAACGGATATTTTCCATTATGTTATAATGAAGGTGTTAGAAAGAGGAGATACGTATGAGAATATTACGAATCAAAGTGGTTGCTTCATTGGTGGGAATGTTGATTCTTTCAGTGATTAACACAAATCAATATTTTATTTTGATCCTATTAATCGGGATGTATTCATTATTTAAAGCAATAGATTTATACCATGAAACAAAGACAATATAAAAATAGGAGTGTGTTTATATATGAAAAAGTGGACAAATAAGAAAAAAATAATAGTAGGAGTGGTAACATTGGTATGTGTGGGGGTAATAGCAGGTGGGGCAACAGCTGTTTCAGAAAAAAATAAAACTGCTGCTAAAATCGAACAAAAACAAAAAGAGTATATGGAAGTATTAGACAACGTGAATACTGAGTTGAAAGCAGCTTTAGACAAAGAAGACGAACATTATCTGGTGCAAGGAATTACACAGGAGGATATGGACTCATTCGTTGAACAAAAAAATACAGCGATTGATATTGATGGTAATGAGGCCGTAAAATCTGCTATAACAACGGTGAATGATACGTTTGAAAAAGTTCAAACTGCCTTTAACCGGCAAGAAGCAGTAAATTCTTTATACAAAAGAGATGAGCAAACGCAAGCAATGGATGGTAAGGAATTAAAGAATGATTTAGCCATTACCGATGATTTGAAGAAAGAGTTCGTAACCAATATAAAAGATGCTTATTTTGTAAATGATGCAAAAAATGAATATGATAAAACAATCAATAGCTTTATCACTAACGCTGCAGAGCAAGTGGAACAGATTGAGATTGCAGAAGTAGCTGTATCAAAGATTTATAATTCTACTGAGGAAAAAGTATCTTCAGTAGATCAAGCACACTATGATAGTGCAAAATCTGAGGTTGATAAGATTAAAAATGATAAAGCAAAAAATGACTTATTAGAGAAAATTTCTAAAGTTAAAGAAGAAATAGACAAACAAGCAGAAGCTAAAAAAGAACAAGAAAAACTAGAAGAACAGGCGACAAAAACGCAAGCAGAGGTAGAGGCAATGCCAGAGAATCAAAAATCAGAAGTAGCTACAGCTGTAGCTAGTGGTTCTGGACAAGCTGCAGCACCCGTTCAAAATGGTGGAACAGCGAATGCGCCAACTGGACAAGTAGCGCAACCTGCGGCCGGTGGAAATTCAAATAGTAACTGGAATCAAGGTTCTGGTGGTGGCCAAACGGCTACACCTCCAGCAAGCGGGGGTGGAAATACCAACGCTGGCAGTGGTTCGACTGGAGGAGGCGTACCGACAGCGCCAGCTGGAACGGTTGGTCCATTTTATTCATATGACGAATGTTACGCCCATGCAGATAGCCAAGGATGGCTAGGATTTGCGGTTACTATAATTGACGGAGCAATGTTTATTAGCCCTCGCTAGAAAGAAAATTTAAAATTATTAATTAGGACGATGATGAAAATCATCGTCTTTTTATTATATCTAAGCTTACAAGGAGGACATTATGAGGATACGTGCACCAGTGTGTGGTAGGAAAAAATCAGATAAAAACAAAAATATGGAATGAATGAAGGAGAAGAAACAACAATGAATTTTAAGGAAAATCTAATTAAACGAATGAAAAAATCAACGACAGTATTGGCATTGACAGTTATTTTGGGACAATCAGTAGTTCCAACGATGACAGTGTTAGCAGATGAGGAACCTATGAATAAGGCTACAGAAGAAATCCTAGAACACTCAACAACTGAAGACACTGGCTCAGAAAAACCAATTGATTCAAAAGTATTAGAAGTGATTAATGACCCTTTGTTGACAGAGGAAGGGAAAGTTTTGAAAATGTATTCAGTTTTTGAGGGACTGTCTAAAGTATCGTATGGATACACAGACGAAAATGGCGAAGAAGTGACTGTACAAGAACAAGCAAACCCACTATCTCGGATGGTATTAGATATGTCTGAATATACGCCATATACGTTTAGAGTTGATTTGAATGGGTATTGGGCAGAAGGACAAATGCCTGTTTTAAGAGATGCGACAACGAGAGAAGTTCTTTTTTGTATTGAACCAGGTGTTGCTGCAATCGCTGGTCCAGGGTACACGCCAGCTGATTTAACAGCTCAACAACGAGCTTGGTTTGAAGATATTGGAAATTTTGGGTACCCTATGGAACAAAGTCATGAAATGTATTTAACAGCTCAAGGCTATATGTGGGAAAAAATGGGCTCAACATTTAGTAGTAGCTATGGAGGATATACGGCTAAAAAAGCTCAGATTGACGGAAATATTGCAGCATATTATACGCGCCCAAGCTTTCACGGAGAAAAAGTAACGGTAAAAATGGGTGAACCATTGACTCTAACCGATACGAATGGCGTTTTGGAAGAATATGTAAGAGATGTTTCTTCTGGAGGGTTAAAATTATCTAGGAATGGAAATCAATTAACCATAGAAGTTACTAAAGAGACTAATGATAGTGCCCAAGTACGTATGTGGAAAATTCCAAGCGAAGGTGTTTCGATTGCCTATATTCAAGATGGAGCCCAGATGTTAGGGAAATTTCAGACTGCGGATCCTTCAGCTTACACACTAGATGTTGAAGCAATCAAAACTGGAAAACTAAGAATTGGGAAACAAGACGCAGTCACAGGGAATATGCTTTCAAATACTAGGTATGAAGGAACTATAGGTGACGAACAAGTTTCATTCACTACGGATGAAAAAGGTTATTATGAACTGCCAAAAGAATACATTCATGGAACGTCATTTTCACTTGTTGAAATGGATGTACAAGCTGGCTATGTATTGAATCAAACACCAATGACTGGGACAATTGTTGGTGGTGAGACAACGACAATCATTCAAAAGAACGATATTCAAAATGCGGGATTGACAATTGAAAAAGACATTGAAGTGTTTAAACCAGAAGAAACAACGCAACAAGGGAAGCCAGTTTATGAAATGGTGCCAGCTGAAGCTATTCCATTCACATTAAAAAATGAAACAGATACGACAGCACCAGATGGAAAAACCGTTATTCAAGCAGCTGGTGACTATTCAGACACTCAAGTAACGGATGCAGAAGGAAAAGCAACTTTTAAACCATTTTACAATGGCGCTCAAAATCCTTACACGCTAACAGAAGACGAAACACCAAAAAATTACCGTCCAATGGAAACGAAAACGATTGTAAAAGAGTACGGAGATTCCACCATTAGTGCGGTTGCCTATACTGAAAAAATCACGAATTTACGCCAAAAAGGGAATTTAAAATTGAACAAAAAGAATTCAATCGATTTAAGTAATCCATTAAATTTAGAAGGTGCTAAGTTCTCATTAAAAGGTCTGCCAAATACACCAGTATCAGATGTTTTCTTAAGGTTTGAATCAACGAAAGAAACAAACGATATTTATGATTTGCCAGCTGGCACCTATAAAATTGAAGAATACGAAACACCAAATGGGTTCCAAATTCCAACAGGACAAACGAATATTCAATACGCGACAATTGAAGACAACAAAACAACCACGGTAGATTGGGAGAATCAACCAATTATGCCAGAAACACCTAAAACAACAACACCAGTATCTACTAGTACCCCTACTATCGCTACTGGAACATTACCGCATACAGGTGAAGCCTCAAACGGTTGGTTGTCTATTTTAGGTGTCAGCTCTATTGTAACACTTGCAGGTGTTGTTTATATCTACAAACGTCGTACGGCAGAACAATAAAATAAAAAGTGAGCGCTCATTCTTGATGAGCGTTCTTTTTTAGGTAGAAAGGACTAAAACATGTTGAAATACGCCATTCAAAAGAAGGAGTGTGACGACTGTGAATGTATCGATTTGTCTACCTATAATGGGTACTTATTAATTCCAGAAAAATTTGTGGTGATTAAAAGAGACGTTCCTTTAACGGTCAAAGTGAAAGAAGGAGAAGCACCTCAAGTGTTTAATACTACGAGATATAGGATCAAAGCAAGCCATATGATCCATTTTTTAGCACATTCTAAAAGATATGGGTTGAACGAGCACCTAGAATCAAAAACAAGTTTTTTTGGGCTAATTGTACCTAGCGGGAAAATCAGACAAGTAGAAACATTCAAAGTAGACAAACACAAGAATGTTTACACCATATACAGTTTACAGGGACAAAAAGATATTTTACCTTTGGTTACGGTAAAAAACTTACATTAACGGAGGCCAAGAATATGGACAAACCACAGAGAGAGAATAATCAAGTATTTAATCGTATTGCTAGTTTAGAAGAAGCCAATCGGAAGAACTACCAGCTGTTAGCACAAAAAGAAATGGAATTACAGCTATTACAAGACGAAAATAGGGAATTATATCGACAGCTGGATTTGTATGAAAAAAAATCAAGAACAGGCTATTTAAAAGCCATTTAAGGAGACTAAAATGAAGAGAAAAGCATTAAGTATTCTATTAGCAACGCTGCTCGTCAGCAATGCCCTACCGATCACAAGCTTTGCGGATCAGTTACCAGCTGAAGGCGTGGAAGTACCTAAAGAAACAACCGAAAGTTCGTCTGAAGAAGTTGAAACAGAAGAAAGCACTACAGAATCAACGGAAGAATCGACGGCCGATAGTAGTGAAAAACCAACAACACCGGAACCAGTTGAGCCACCAGAAATTACAGTTCCTTCAGAAGCAGCACCGGAAGAAACAGCTGAGATCCCAACGCAAGAAATTAGCCAACCAGCTGAAGAAAACACAGCGACAGTTATTGAGGTTCCAGCTGAAGGCATACGCTTTGAACGGAACGAAACAACGGAGACGTTTATCGCTAAAATTGGTGAAGAAGCGCGAACAGTAGGGCAGGAAAAAGATCTGTACGCCTCTGTGATGATCGCCCAGGCAATTTTAGAATCAGGATCAGGAAGCAGTCAGTTAAGCCAGGAGCCAAACTTCAATTTATTTGGTATCAAAGGCGACTACGAAGGTCAATTCGTTGTTTATGGAACATGGGAAGACGACGGTCAAGGCAATTCTTACAACACCGACGCAGCATTTCGTGTCTATCCTAGTTATAAGGAATCTTTCGAGGACTACTCAGAGTTATTAACGGATGGTCTAACCGGAGATACGACATTCTACAGCGGGACATGGAAATCTATGACAGAAACCTATCAAGACGCAACGGAATTTTTAACTGGTCGTTACGCAACCGACACGCTGTACAATCAAAAACTGGATTCTTTAATTGAAACATACAATTTAACGCAATACGATCACGAAAAAGAAACGATCATTGCTGGTGGTGACTTTGAGCCTTTTGACAATGTGAATCATGACAGCGGTAATAGCTACGCAGCCGGCAATTGCACGCAGTTTGTATACAACCGTATCATTCAATTAGGCGGTTATGTTGATTTAGATATGGGGAACGGCGCTGATTGGGGTGCTACAGGTCGTGTGCGAGGGTATGAAGTCTCAAATACGCCAAAAGCGGGTACGGCTGTATCATTTGCGCCTGGTGTTTTAGGAGCTGATCCAGATTACGGTCACGTTGGTTTCGTCGAGAGAGTGAATGAAGACGGATCTATCCTGATCTCTGAAATGAATGCGGTCGGTTTAGGTATCATATCAACGCGTACCATTCCGGCAGGCTTTGGAAGCATGTTGACCTATGTCACACCAAAATAAATATATTTACCGAGGAGAAACACACAGATGAACAGAAAAAAATTTTTGAGTTATGCAACAATGATTACATTGCTATCCCCACCAATCATAGGTGTACACCAAGTCTATGCTGAAACAGTAACTATCACAACAGAACCAACAGAAGAAACGCTCGAAACAGGGATAACAGAATCAAGCAGCATGGAATCGACAAGCGAAACAATTCTAGCATTGACTGAAGAAAGCTCGTTGGAAAGTAAAGTTTTAGATCCAGTTGAGCTAAAAACGAATGAGCAAGTAAGTGCAAGTGAGGATCAACAATCACACATGGAGAAAGAGTCTAGACTTCCTTCAGCTGGAGAATATTTTGAACAGACGTATCTAGAAATGTTTCCTGATGAAAACTTAAGAAAAGAAGTAATGAATAAAGCAAATGCTTCATTTGAGGACGAATTAGTAAACAAGAGAATGGTAAGTCTAATATTTAGACTTGACGGAAATTATTTAGGCATCAAGAGTTTAGAAGGCATTCAAAACCTATACAATTTAACAGGAGTTAACCTTGTAGGAAATTCTGTCGAAGATCTAACACCATTAGGTCAGCTGGAAAATCTAGAAAGGTTAGCTATCTCAGGGAACAAAATAACAGACTTTTCACCATTGAATACATGTAAAAATCTTGTGGATCTAACAATGGGAAATATTCCAGGGCTAACAAATCTTGATTCTCTGGGAGGAATAACTAGTTTAGAAATTCTTTATACTGGTGAAAATCCAACACTAACAGACATAACAGGCGTAAGTAGTTTGCATAATTTAAAAGAAATTGATCTACAAAACTGTAAAGTAATAGATATTAGCCCTTTGGCGGCATTGCCTAATTTAAAAAATTACAATGTACAAACACGTGTTGAGTTACCACAACGATCCATTACAAATGGTTATTTAGAAGTGTTGCTAGACGATGTAAAAGTTGTCGATATAGGTGGGGAGGGAATGAGCGGTGATTACACAGTGCAAAGTTTTGTTGGACCCAAGGGGCTACCATTTAAAGAATTCTCAAACGGTTCCTTCATATGGGATAACGTCTCCAATGAAAATGAACTATATCTTATGTATGAAACACCAAACCATGTAATAGGGCAAAAGCGCTTTAATGTTTTTTACACAATTCCAATTGAAAACAAAACCGTTGAAACGACTGAATCAAGTACAACAGAAGAATCTAGTACGACGGAATCTGAAACAGTTGAATCAACTACGCCAAGTATTCAAGAAACAGTAGAAACTACTTCAAGTCAAGAAAAAACAGGTGGAATTGTTACTACACCTAGTTCAAGTTCAGGATCTAGTACAGCTGGTGTAGGAAAGAATTTACCGGAAACAGGAACTAGCAACAATGAGTATTTAGGCATCTTTGGATTTGGGCTAATTTCATTGATAGCTGGATTTTTCATGCTTAAAAAAGATGTAAAAATTCAGGAGTGAATTGGAGGTAGAAGATTCAATGAAAGAGTCCGAGTTATACGAACCTGTTAGACAATTTTTACTTGAAAAGTTGGAATGTGAGCATGTTTATGCTGAAGTTTCTAATCACGATATTTTAGGAACATGTGGGCCACTTAACATTATCGTAGAAATGAAAACACGACTGTCTTTTAAATTGTTAGATCAAGCAAAAGGGGCTTTAGGAAGTGCAGAATACGTCTATATTGCTGTTCCTAAGACAAAAAATTACAATGAACTTCATTTTATTGAGTATGAATTTCTTCGGAAATATGGGATAGGATTTCTTCAGGTAGAGGAAAACAAGTATTATCATGAAAATTCCACATACGATTATCAGCGAAAAAAATATGATATATCCGTGGTTTGTCCGGCTAAATTCTCTAATTTGAGACGGAAATATAAGCAGAAAAATAAAGATTCTATTTTTTATCGAACGATTCGTGATTCTATTCGTCCATTTCATGAAACAAACATTGGTGGTGTAAAAGCTGGAGAAGCTGAGACTGACTATTCAAATACAATCAAGGAAGTAAAAGAGTATTTGTCTAGGAATGGTTGGAGTACCGTTGACGATATTTTATCAAACGTCGGGACACATTATGCGAATCCAAAACCTTCGTTGATTGCTACGCTTAAACAAAGCTGGAATGCCGATTGGATCGATACGAGGCTGGAAAATAAGAAACGGTACTACAATCTCAAATCTTTATAGATAGGTATTTCGTCCTGTTTTATATCAATAGTAGAAAGGAAGAGAGAAATCTATGTATCAGGAATATCTTGCTGAAATTGAAACATTTCGTTTTCTGTCCACAACACCGCTATTGATTATTAGTATTTTTATTACGGTTATTGTTGTCCCAGTTTTGGGCTTTGTCATTTTTAGATATGAGGACGTTGGATTCATTGTGATGACTCACACTTAGAATAGAAAAGGAGGAAATCATGAAATCTGTTACAAGAGTTACGTGGACTACCGACAGTTTGGAAGTAAATGATTATATAAAAACACCTGGATACATTGGAAAGGTCATTAGTTCTGTCCAACGAACGTTTCTAGATCAGGAAACGGACCAATTAGTCGAACGAACAAATAAAATCATCATACTATTTGATCCGAACAAGCGTAAATTTTTTAAAATGACTTTTTCATCCGTTGTTTATGAACCAGCTACGCCTGAACAAATCGCTGAGTTTAATGAAGAATTTGAACTAATGTTGCACACGACGACTGAAGAGAACGGAGGGAACAAATTATGGAGAACGTCGTATTAACAGAATATTATCCTCGCCAACAAACACTCACCGCTGCAGGGAAACAATTTGCCAATCGATTAAATGACTTTTTCGGAGGAGGTTGGCAGATAGAACGTCATGAGATACTCTCCAGTTCGGATTGGAATCAAAAAGAATATGTGGAACTGTCGAATGGTAGACAACTGCTTGTGGAGCTGACACGATCAGAGGAGACGTTTGAACTAACAGCGAGCGCTATCTATGCGTATAACTCTGATTACTTAAAAACAATTACGGATCAGGAAAATGTGTATCTGATTGAGTTGATTACTCAAGTCGATGGGGATATTCGCACCCTGAAAGGCTATGAAATGGCTGATTACTTATATCGGTTGGCCTCAGAGCGATTGGTTCAACTCAGTGTTATTCCAGGTGTTTCAGAACCATTAACTGAAGCTGAATTAAAAGAAGAAAACTTGTTGTCATTCCTTGTCCCAAAATTAATGATCGTGACCGGAAGAGCGAGAGAAAAGAATTTTCACTTAGCTAAGGTAACAGAATGAACGGGTTGAAACAGCGGTTTGTGTTAGACGTTAGCGATTATACGTATTCAGAATTTGAACAAAATAATCAAGTATTAACGAATCGGCTGGTGTTGTGGCGGGTTCTTTTTGTTACAGGAGCGTTTTTTGTATCCGTATCAGGTGCATTTTTTATAGGACCAACCCTTTTGAGTTTAGTTTATGGTTATACCTATTTGTGCAGTAAAACGCAGCTAGTTATTGATTACCTGGATCATGGAAAGAAAGAGTGGGTGACGGAGAAAGAAGTAACAATCTATTCTTGGTATACCCACATGGTTCTTGAAAGAGGTTTGCCTGACACTCGTATAGTTGATGTTATTGTCGGGGAAACAATTAGTTTTTTGATTGAAGAGAATGAGGAAATCAAGCGAATTGATCTCCCTCGAGAAACACACGAAGTGATTTTTAAACCAACACAAGAAGGTATTCCTTCTGTCGTTTATCAGGCGGAACAGTACGTAGAGTTCGGCTTTTTTGATTTGTTGGAACGGACAAAACTATTGAGTGTAGCCGAAAAAAGACAATGGCCGCAACAATATCGGTTCATTATCTATACAGATTCTATTTCATTTCTACCTATTAAAGAGAACAAACATAGTCAAGTAAAGAACAAAGAGTACACAAAAAAATTGAAAAGAGGAAAAAAATGATGAAAAAAACAACAGTATTATCAACAACTGGAGCTATTCTATTCTCGTTAACAATGACAATGCCAGCGTTTGCCAATGAAGTAGTGCCAGAAGAGCTAACAGAACAAGCTACTGCATTAGAGGAAATGGTGGTACAAAGTGATGAAATCGACCCAGGAGACCCAACGATCCCTATAGAGCCAGTAGATCCTGTTGATCCAACAGAGCCCATTGATCCAATAGACCCCGTTGATCCAGTGGATCCGATTGACCCAGTAGATCCAGTAGATCCTGTCGAACCCACGGAACCAGAAAAGCCAGTAGAACCAGAAAAACCGGTGGATCCTGTTGAACCAGAGAAACCAACCGAGCCAGAAAATCCTGTAACGCCAATTGTACCAACACCAACGCCAACTCCTGTTGTGCCGACACCAGAAGCACCCGTGACCACAGAAACCGGACAGACGATTGTTGGGGTTGAAAATGGTCAAGTGATTGTCCAAACCACTACCGGAGAACAAATCAAATTAGCAGAATTACCAGAAGGTGTCACAAAACAAGCTGACGGAACGCTTGCAGTGAAAACGAGTGAGGGATTAAAAGTATTACCTCATACGGGCGAGGCAAGCCGTGCAGCGTTGTCAGTTGTGGGCGTTATTATTAGTAGTTTAAGTGTTTGGTTCATGCGTAAGCGCGCGAAAGCATGAAACGTCTATTCAAATGGATTAGCGGACTCATAGGTGGTGCGCTCCCGTTATTACTTTTTTCTGGTCAGTTGAAGCCGATGGAACTATTAAACTCAGCTATCACATTCTTACCAAGAATACATGCCACGATTGAGACGCTTCCGATTCCTGATCTCGTCAATAAACTTGTGGATCCGGATCAATCAACGGCCGCACCCATTGAACTACCAACTATTTCTTTTGATTTTAGTCAACTTATTTATGATGGAATAAACCTTGCCATACCTGTAGAAGAAAATGTTCCTTCATTTAGTGCGTCAGACTTAGATCTGGCGCATGAAGCCTGGCAACATTTTTCCGATCTTGACCACTTAAATCGAGTAGGACCAGCGAATGCGGTTTTGGGACAAGAATTATTCCCAACTGAAGGCAGAGAACCTTTAACAATTAAACCTACAGGCTGGAATCAAAAGAAGTTGAGTAACGGAGAATGGCTGTATAATCGCTGCCACCTTATTGGTTTTCAGCTCACTGGAGAAAATAATAATATGAAAAATCTGATGACTGGCACACGTAGCTTTAATACGCCAGGTATGTTGGAGTACGAAAATAAGGTAATGGAGTATCTGAAGCGGACCGGCAATCATGTTCGGTATCGGGTAACTCCTGATTTTCGAGACCGCGAGTTAGTCGCAAGAGGTGTGAGAATGGAAGCCCAAAGTATTGAAGACAACGGGCTTCAGTTTAACGTGTATATTCACAATGTCCAAAAAGGCTATACAATCGATTATCAAACCGGACGTGCAACAAAAGAATAAGGCGTTGATAGACTACTATTTGATAAAAAAATCAAATAAAAATAACAGAGTTACTAATTTTAGTTTGGTTCTGAAGAGAACGAAACTGAGATAATAGTTGCTGAAGACGTACTGAATAAACAGCTAGTTTGGCCGCTCAAAAAAACAGGAATGGGAGCCAAACCAGCTGTTTTTCAGAACAATTTTTTTAATATAAACAAATTAAACTATTGCCTTCAGAATCAAGAGAATCATTAATTTTTTTTTAGTTGAACGAGTCGTAAGTCAAAAAATGCGACTCGTTTTTTTCTGAAATGCTTAATTCATAGTCATAAATTTAGACTCATGCATTACCTCATGTAGAAGGTTATGCATTAACTCATGTAGAAGTCTTTTTAAATGCATGGGGTAATGCATGAGGTAATACATGAGGTAATGCATGAGGGGGCGGAATGCCGTAACGCTTTTCTACGTAAGGTTACAGCGGTTGTCAGAATTTTCAAATAACAATTTTTCATTTTTGTCGATTCTTACCCTTTTTAATAGAATAACCAACCTTTGAAAATTTCAAAGTTTATTCGTATTAAAAGAGGGAAGATCTTCCAGAAGTTTTTCTATAGCGGCGGGCGGCGTCGGACGAAAAAACAGTCCTTACCCCCCGCCGCT